GAGGACCTACCTGGAGCTGGTGCTGTGTGTGCTGAGCAGCGTCCGCAACAACAGGTACCGCGGGGCGCCCCGTCTTCTGGCCTGGCGCGCTCCCTGACTGGGGGAGGGGGACACATCTCTCGGGCTCAGCTCCTTCCCCGAGCCCGCTTGGCTTTCCCACCTGCCCCTTTCGCTGGGGGGATTTCCCTCCTGCCGGGCCTCTTCAGCCCACCCGCCCCGTCCTGGCCTTCTTCGCTGGGACATGTTAATAGGAACATCTTGCTCTGTACACAGGAAAGGAAGGATTGGGAGAAAGAGTTTGATTAGAAAAACTTCTTAAGGAAAGAAAATCCTGGAAACCAATTAGATTTCCCTTGAACTTGCTTTTAAATAAAGGGCATAATGGAGGCCACAATGAGGACTAGGTCACCTATTGTGTGTACTGATGCTTCATGAAGATAAATCGTTAAACACCTGCCAATCGATAGCTCATGTACAACACGCTCCATATTCATAGGAACTGTGATTTGATGAGAGGTAACAATTCAGCGTGTAAAGCATTGTCTTAAATGAAGCATTATTTGGCATCTCTGATATATAATGTCAATCACTTATTATAGTGCAAACTTGACAGTAAGTAAAACTTACGGTAATAATTTGCAAATTTAATGTCCTTGGAATTCTTAAACAGTGTTAGCCCATATAAACTAGCTTACACATACTTTGCATGGTATCATATTAGCTGTGGAATATAAATACAATGTAAAATATAGAAATAGATGAGCTGAGAATTTACATTACCTTGTGGTAAAATTTTTTAAAAATCAACGTATAGATCTGCAGCACCTTAGAGACAAACAAAAAATATAGATGGTATCATGGGTTTTTGTGGCCGGTGGTACACAATAAAACAATTGGAGTTGTACAATAATTGCATTTTTATTTTAAGAAAAAAGAAATCACAAATCAAATGTATGATCAGAGCTATAAGTTTGCATTATGGTGTGTATAGCCCATTTTTTTTCAAAATACTTTGAATGTGCCTTCATAATTTATCCATGCATGAACAGACCCAACAGATAAGTTGTGCTACCTTGTGTAATTTTAAATTGTTCCTTCTACCACACTGTGATGTGAACTTGGTATTATAAAAAAAAGTATTAACTAAGTCTATCATAATAGCTGGGTTGCTGGACACTCAGTAATTTCTGAAACAGTTTGGTCTCTAAAAGAAGGAAGTTTATATTTAGTCAGAAACTATTAAAAGTGAGTGACTTGTAATTGTCCTTGGTCTTGGGAGATGCTGATGGTAAAGAGGAAAATCGGGTTCAATTGTTAAGGTGCTAGCTTAGAACTGGGGATTCCTTGGTTCAATTTGATGCTTTGCCACAGTCGTCTTTAGTGATCATGGACTCTGGTCTCTTTGGGCCTCAGTTCTCTTTGAAAAATTGTGATCATAGTGTAGTGATAGAAATGTAGCCGTGTTAGTCTGGGGTAGTTGAAGCAAAATGCAGGACAATGTAGCACTTTAAAGACTAACAAGTTGTTAGTCTTTAAAGTGCTACATTGTCCTGCATTTTGCTTGATCATAGTGTGTTATGCTTATAAGAAGTACATTGGGTCTTTTCAGGGGAAAAGCCAATATGCCACGTTTATTGAGAATATAATGGCAAAGCAATTAGCATATGCTTACATAGACAGACACACAGACACACGCTGTCCCACCAATCAGTGTTATATTTACCACTCCATGGTCTGTTGCTACATTGTCCTGCATTTTGCTTGATCATAGTGTGTTATGCTTATAAGAAGTACATTGGGTCTTTTCAGGGGAAAAGCCAATATGCCACGTTTATTGAGAATATAATGGCAAAGCAATTAGCATATGCTTACATAGACAGACACACAGACACACGCTGTCCCACCAATCAGTGTTATATTTACCACTCCATGGTCTGTGCCCAGCCAGATTGATGACGGATGGAGGAGCGGGGGGGGGGGGGGGGGTTTGGGGT